AAAATTACAATCATGACTAATAAATTATGCAAATGTTGTTATTATTGTGAGAAAAATCGTTTAGAGACATTGGAAAAATTTATTGGCAACGAACTTCAAAATGACAAATAAATTTTTTTTATTAACGAATTATAAATGCAAACAATTATTGCAAAAAAAATTCAAGACAAAATTAGAATCAAAAGCAATAAATTATGCAAATGTTATTATTCCGTGAGAATACTTAAACAAAAAATCTTCAATATAAATTTATGCATAAGGAAATATGATTAACATATTGCAAATCACTAAGAGCACATTTTCTTAATCATAGCAGTCTTGTTAAAATGTATTATTTTAAATAAAAAATATGTTAAAAATACAGACTATGGCAAAAACCCGGATTCAAAAACACTTTAAAAACGTTAATTAGTTTGTCTAAGAATGTGGTTTGATTTGTAATAAATTTTCTGCACTAAATTTTTATTAATGCTGTGTTATCTTATAAACAAAATTAACTTGTTTTCCAATATATTACCATAATGAATTTTATCTGCAAAACATAATAAATTATGTTGAAATATAAATTTTATTTGCATAATTTTGTTTGTGCCATTAAAAAAATATTTTTATTAAGGACGCAGAAATAATTGCTATATATCAATTGCAATATATCAATTATGAATGAATCAAAAGGTTTTAATAATTAACAAGTAGGGTAGCATTTTTCTTTATGAGTACGCAATATTTTGAAAAATTTATGAAAATGCACATAAATAAATTGCATATGATCAAGGTCTCTATCCTAATAATTAGATAAAAAACCAAAAAACGAATACTAAATATAAAATTAAATAACTCAGTATACTATATACTTAAATTTAGTTCGTGGATAATAATTTGTACAACATGAAACTCATTTTTATATAACACTAAAATTATATTGCGATATTTATAACTTTTTTTACCATTAATTCATATGATATTTTACGATAAATTGGATGTAATATTTTCCGAAATCAAAATTTGTTTGTTTTTTTGACAGACCCAATGTTGTCCTCATATGCAAAGAAATAAATAAATATATACAGGGTGTCCCAGAACTCAACGGGAAGCCAACACGGAAAGACAGTATTGATTGTAACTATCATGAAGGAAAATGGGAAAAAAATCCCATGCGGTTTGAAAATTATGAGCTTTTTTAGGCAATAGGCTAGGAGCTTATAGAGCTTTAGTGGAACTTAGATAAAACCATTTTTCGGTTATTGTGGTTAATTTTCATTATTTTCATTCATTTAATTTTTGAAACCGTAATCCTAAATATCACTTCTAAGAGCAGTGGAAAATAATTACAACTTTGCCCTAATAGTCCATTCATTTAAGCTTAAATTAGGTAGGAATCTCGGAATACGAGATACCCAGCTGTAAATTCCTGTATATTGACACCTAAAAGTTGTCTCAAAACCTACATATGATAGGGTCAAAGCAACATATCTAGGTTTTGAGACAACTTTTAGGTGTCAATATATAGGAATTTACAGCTGGGTATCTCGAATTCCGTGGTGAACTTACTATAAGTTACTGAAAATAAGACGATTTGTTAAACTATGAATTTAAAATTTTCAAAGTTTGTCGATTTTGAAAGGGCTTCCATTAAAAATGTTTTAATGACAGACTAATGTATCTTGGCAAGTTTCATTATTTTTTGGGATTATATTTTGAGGATTTTATTTTTTCACTCATTTTTGAAAAGTTGGCATATCTGATGCCATCATCAGTGGTCTAGTGTTAAGACAGCTCTAAACTAATTATAAGAATAAACTAAATAGAGTCTTGATTGAGTCCATATCAAATGCGAATTAAACTATCCTCTAACCAGCTCAAGAAATAATATGATGAGTTTTTAATAATATTTTTTGATTTTGTCATATGTCATACGATCACTCATCATATGTCACATGATGAGTTTTTAATAATAATTTCTATGTTGAAATATATGTATCAGAATTATTATAAGAAACTCAACGAAGAGCAAGAAACTATGTTGAAATATATCAGAATTATTATAAGCTTATTCATGTACATATTCGAATTCTCCGTATTATACGTTGACATTTAATTCAGCCTGTCACTTCTAAATCAAAATTTTCCACATTCTGACAGGATTACTAATGAGTGTAAAAAATCTAAATGTAAGCAACTACGATGACTCTATCACAAAAATCAGACAGACGAATGAAAGATCTTGTGGCTTTGGAGTTACGAAATAACGTCTACATTTCTCCGATGTGATTACGAAATAAACCTAATAATGCTGCTAATTATACAATATTTCTTTGAATAACTTATATTATCAATTCTAATAAGCAAATATTTGAAAAAAAAACTAAGTGCCCTTATACACATATGGACAATTATAATACACTTTCTACATTATGTAATAAAATATGTATAATTTCATCTACCGAATATATATATTGTATCTTATATTGTTTTAATTTCGGGCAAATCTTAGCTGGTTTTCGGCAATAATATTGTAGATATAACATTTTTCTTATTCATAATGATGAATATGGATATTATATAAACTAAATTCCAATTTCGACTCAAATTTCGAGTGAATCGACATTTTTGGCAATGACTGCTCTCATGTATCAAAATGTTTTCATTGTCAAACAATGATATGTTGTTTCTTGCAATTTTTTTTATTTATTTCTACAACATTACTATATTTTTATAATCACATACATCGTAAGAAAATCCGTTAACAAACTTCAGAAAGATTTATCAAAATCCGAATAATCGTTTAGGAGCAGTATATTTACATACATCATTACAGAAGAATTTTATATATGACATATATACTAGCTGACCCGGCAAACGTTTCATCGCCATAAAAAATATTATATTTCTAGTAAAATATTTAGCATGAAAATAACTAACCAATTTCATATGTGGTGCTTAAGAGAAAGGAGCAGTTACCAAATATGAAAAGTTTACCCACTGCAAAGTACGCCACATATAAATGTTCCTTAATAGTCTTTGCAAGTGCCAACCTAATCTGAAACCGATTATATTTAACCCTTTCCACTCGGATGCCGCCGGGGCAAAATTCATATAAATCTCGGAATTCGCGAGTGGTAAGGGTTAAATTTTGATATATTATCTCTATTCTCTCCAAATTATCGTTTTTCATTAATTCAGTAATTTTTGGATTAAGAAGCAAAATCCGATAATTCATTTTTAAATTATATTGTTATGTGGCATGCCTAGCGAATTAATTTAAAAAAAATGCCAGAATGGAAAATTTTACATCTTTGCCATAGATTTGTATGGTACCTATAATTCCCTATCAAAACCTATTATATCTTCATATTTTAATATTTAAAATCCCTATTTTTTTGCAAAAATTGCTCCTAATGCAAATCATTTTCAAGTCTTTATTAGAATAGCATACGTTTCGAGAGATGATCAGAAAACAGTTCCTTTACAAGTCTTTACGAGTTAAATTAAACATTATTTTACAACAAGAATTTCATAATTAAATCTTAAAAGCGATCACTAACACATCTTACTAATAATTAACTATATTAATCTAACTAAAAATAAGAAAGTTTTAATCAGATTGTATGTAAATCATCAATCAATCCCAAATGTTGAAAAAATGTACAATTTTCTTATGTCTAAGAACATCAATCTTTACAGAATTTCTGTAATAGATTTCTCATCACTAGAAAAATATCTTCATTACTCGTTCTTAATAACGACAACTTTTGACGAAGACAATTACGGAAAAACTAAGATTTTTTTCTCAAAAAAAAAAAACTGAAAAATTCAAGGTGTTATTGCAGAACACATATTTCAAGCAGATTGCTCGGTCGGATGTTCTTAATGTCATGGTCCAAGTTTCAAAAGACTTTGGTATTATAAGTAATATAAAATTAACCAAGTTAAATTGTAACTTTCAAAACAATAAAACTTCAATAAATTTGTAAACTTGTTGAACATATTTACAGTTTTCTCATTAGTAATTTTAAATCAATATTTTTATGACCATAAAGACGACCGTTGGCCTTGACACTTAAATTCGGCGATAAAAAATTATTAATAAATTTGCATTTGAAATTAAACCTTGTATGCATTATTTTGTGCACAGGAATGTTTTTGCAACTATTATGCGAAAATAACAAAACAAGGTATAGTCTGAAAAACAATTTGATTAAATGATTTATTTGTTGTAGTTATTAAAAATTAAATAATTTTAAGTTGTGAATTAGTAGTAAATTTAACTGCTTGAATATGGAAGAAAGATTAGAATTAGAATTTTTGTAGTATTTTGTTAAAGTCATTTGTAAATGGGTTTGTGAGCGAAAAAATGTCCTCCACAGGGTAATAGAAAAATCTATGGATTCTAGATGGTAGTAAAAAATGAAAAAAAAGAAAAACCCCAAAAAAATTTTACAAAATTTTCAAATTTATAAAAGTTTATCAAAATGAGAGCATCTTCAATAAAAGTAGAGAGCTCCTGGTCTATAAAAGTAACAAAGTAGTGTGTTCACAAAATTGAAAAATTTTCGATGAAAGAGATAAAATATATAAAAGCACCAAAAGAATAAATTATATTTGCATTGTATATATAAAACAAAGCTATAAACAACAGCTAGAAAAAAATGTTTATAAGTATCAAAAGAAAAATCCTTAGCTATGAAAAATGTGATGGGTTTGTGTAAGAGATATCGATGAATTTTCGATAGATGTGAAAAATATAATAATGGGAGGCCCAAAATAAGAAATTATATTTGGAATGTATATAAGAAAAATAAATGATGAGTCTTAACTACGAGATGTCGTATATGTATGAAAAAATAATTACAGAGTGATATGTAAGAATTTCAACCTATTTAGGAACATCGTATCATTTTTGTATATAAATATTGTAATAAAATTAATCATCAATTTAGTAATATATTATTTTATTTTCACTATGCTATTTTACTTTATTAAAATGTTTCTCATTTTAGGCAAATTGGTATAGAGCAGCACAATATTGTCGTTTCCACGGTATGCACCTGGCAAGCATATCATCACAAGAAGAAAATGACAAATTAGAAAAAAATATACGAGATTTTGGTATGTAATAATTAATATAAAAAATTAATAATTATTTGTCAAAGTTTGGCTCATATACCCAGCAGGATTTTGCAATTTTAGTATCAAACGATTCAGAAAAAGTCAAAAAAATATAAAATTATCTTATGATAATAATAAGATCATTTGCAAGTTAATGAATTAAAAATAAATATAGAAAAAAAATAGATACATGAACAATTACCAATTGTTTGTCAAATTTTGGCTAACATACACAATTTTAGTATCAAACCATTCAGAAAAAATCGAAAAAATATAAAATTATCTGAAGAGACTTTCTGGAAAAAGCAAGCTCATTTGGAAGTTAATGAATTAAAAATAAACATAAAAAATGAATAGGTACATGAACAACTAACAATTATTTGTCAAATTTTGGCTCACATACCCAGCATGGGTTAGCAATTTTAGTATCAAACTATTCAGAAAAAATCGAAAAAGATATTAAATTAGCTAAAGAGACTTTCTGATGAAAACAAGCTCATTTGGAAGTTAATGAATTAAATATAAACATAGATAATGAATAGTATTTTGCCACCTTTTTCATCATCAGAACCTTAAGAAAAACGTGCTCATTAAGAATCTGATCGACACTAATTGAATAAAGCAAAGAATCCAATGGCAACAAAAACCCATACTACTATCATTTATCTGAATTGTATCTATAAATTCACAACTTCCATTACAACAATTTACAAGACGATTAATTCAAAACCAAAAAGCCTATTATGATCTTCATTGTGAAATTATTTGTAATAATGAAATTGGGAACGGTTTGACGATCCTGAGGCTAAATTCGTAATATAACAAAAAATATTTATGCAATGTTTTGATGAATTAGTACTTCGACGATTAAATCGTGTATGGAACTAATAGGCAATAATGTTTCATTATATATTTAATGGGATGAGTATACAAGGTATTAAAACGAACAAAGCGTAACCACTTTATGGCCAACTATGCCAGATATTTTTATTACTTTCGGCGGAGTTAACTTTTATAATTAAATAGTTTATGAACGCATAAATATTTCATTTGGCTTTAATATTTCAGTGAACTACAACTTATACTGCAACATAAATTTTGATTCAAGACGTAAATTGTACATAATATTTTTATTCGTCGTAAATTTGTTTTACTATTGTGTTCTGTAATTAATATTTTATCATATAGATAAACTAGATGTAAGTGGTATTTTATCTTATGGCAAGTTGCCTGAACTTCCCAGATATGTGTAAATATAATCAATAGGAATGTATAATTAGCAAGTTTTAAAGTTGTTTCCATAGACCTTTAGAAATTCTATTCCATTATTCCAAATTCTGATGATGATTTTTTAGAAGCTTTGAATTACTTTTCGTAGGCCCATAATATTTTAGGATTTGTTTTATTAATTTCAATATCTGTTACGATTGCTTAATAGCAACTAGTAATATTAGATATATAAATAAAATATAATGCAAAATAAAAGATACTGTCTTGTCTGAAAATATTTTCATTGCAATGATATCCGTATGATGATAATTTAATATGAAATAAAAAGCAAATAATGATAATAATGAAATCAATAAATAAAACTAGTTGGTATTGGTTTTTTGCCTTAAGACAAGTTACATGAACTTCCCGATATGTGTAAATAATCGACTTAATCAATAAAAAAATAAATTAATTTATGAGTGAATAAAAGTATTCCGAGTGGATTTATTACACATAATTGAAAACGAACGAACACATTAATAACTTGGAGTATTTTCGAGAAGCAAATTTTCAAAAATCAACAATTTTTATAATAGAACCAGTTTCCGCAGGACTTTAATGGTTCAGTATGTTCATTAAGACCAAGTACTCTATCGTTATACCAAGTAAACCGTCTAATTTTAATTTTAACAAACTAATTCGCACGGTTTCCACCTGAATCTTTAAAAAAGTTTTGAATTTCCAAAATTTGTTCAGTATTCTTGGACCGAAAATTATGCACTTTTCTGCTAATTCACTAATCAACGTGAATTAATTTTTTTTTAAATCAGTGTAGCAGAAAACGTCGATAAAAGAACATATACCCTCATACTTTTTGCAAGTTTGGTGTCAAACGATTCAAAATGTCTTGAAAATAACAAATAACAAATAGAATTTTATGTCGAAATCTGGGAGTTAATAAGAAAACATACATACTTCAGAAACTTATTGATGATAACAGAGAAGAAAATGAGAATATAATGACATTATTTCCATCAAAAATGGAAATATCAACAATGTTTTTATAGATTTAATTAAGAAATTAATTCATTAATTAATAGATCTATTAATTAATAGATTTACTTTCTAAATACCCCAGATCGCTTTTTCGTTTGAGAATGCAATTGAATGGAAATCCCATTTCGATATCTCTTTTAATTTACCAGTTATTTAGAATTAACTTGAAAGTTTCCTTTCGGATTATTATATAATAAAACCATACATAAAAAATATTCATGAAAAATTACCGAAAATGATTTGAACAAAGGCGAAAAAACGATTTCCACTACCAAATGATATTACTAATTAATTAGTCCAGTCATTATAGCAAGTTCACCTCGGAATTATAGATACCCAGCTGTAAGTCTGTAAATACTTGTATATTGACACCTTAAAGTTTTCTCAAAAACTGCATATGGTATTGACACCTTAAGGTGTCAATACCCAGCTGTAAGTCTGTAAATACTTGTATATTAACACCCTAAAGTTGCCTCAAAACCTACATATAATAATTATTATATGTAGGTTTTGAGGCAACTTTAGGGTGTTAATATACAAGTATTTACAGACTTACAGCTGGGTATCTCAAATTCCGAGACTCAACTAATTTAAGCTTAAATGACTGGACTAAATTGTAAGATTATTTACCGAATCAAATATTTTATGGTAAAACTTAATAATTCTACGATTTAAATCAACTTTGCAACAATTTCTCGGTATTTGAATCGTCATTGAATTTTGTTTTCGAAAAATATTTCTGAAAACAAACAAAAAATATTTCACTAACCTTTCAAATATCATCATACCAGGACTAGGACACGAACACTTCTGGACCTCCGGAACTGATCTGGCTGAAGAAGGAACCTTCTTCTGGATGGCTACAGGAAGACCTATCACTTTCACAAACTGGAACGCAGGGGAGCCCAACAATTTCCGATACGAAAACGGAGAGGAAGAAAATTGTCTTGAATTATGGAACAGAGACGGCAAAGGACTTAAATGGAACGATACGCCTTGTTCATTCGAGACTTACTTTATCTGTGAAGTTCAATAGTTTTATATTTTAAAAACAAATGGATTTACCAGTTCTACCAAATATGAATAATTAATGTAACCACTATAGGTGGATTGTAAACAACAACCGATATATATATATATATATATATATATATATATATATATATATGTATATATATATATAGATGTTTGTATAGATACATATACATCTAAGATACTAGAGGGAATATAAGAAATTCCTTATAACGTCAACAAAATGCATCTTATAATTAAATATGATATTTCTGAGAAAACAATCACTTGTATAATTAAAATTGTAAAAAGTATTTGTAAGTTAATTAAACCGTGAATTTTTGATGATACTTATCTTCAAAAAAAAGTATTCTGTACTACTACCTTCCGCATTTAATAAAAAAATAATAAATTAATTAAAATAATAAAAAATAATTAATTATTTTTAAGTAACTAAGTCAATTATTTCAGCGAAAATATTGAAAAGAATAAATAATTGTGAAGTCTTACTAACTATAAACACTTTTATATAAATAAAATCTAAAATTGTATTCTGTATATTGTTAGATACAAACTTTTTTTTTTCAATAAAAATAACGACCCACATTTCGTTATTAAGAATAAAAAGATTTTATTTATCAAGGGCCATATAATTATTTCATATGAACGCCAAAGATTCCAATGAATAATTTGGCATCAACACTTGTGCTTCCTTTTCATTTACCGAAAATAGAATAAATCAATTTATCTGAAATTATTTTTCAACATAATGAAAAAAATAGTTGAAACGTTTATAGAAATTGTACATAGTTTTAATTGTATACTAAATTAGAGTATAAGTAAATTACTTGCGCGATATATTTATAATACTGCCAGTTTGATTATGCAAACAAATGTGTATCACTCAAAAAAAATTTGAATCATTCTGGCTTGATTATTATTAGCATTGCTCATAAATAGGTATTTTGTATTATATAAGCATCCAATAAAATAAATAAAACATTGTTTATAAATTTAGCATGCCAATTGTTTATGAAATGTTTCATAGATTAAGTTTCAAATAAATTTAGTTGTATGTATGTATAATCATCAGTTTTCACTGTAACATCACATAAATATAAATTGTACATTAAAAGAAATTGTATTGAAAAAGTGAAATAAAAATTGTTAAATAAATTCATATGCAATTATGTTATGCAAGTCTGGAAATTTCAAGAGTATATATTCACTTAAGCCTGTAAAACAATTAATAAGTATCCGTTGGTTGCTATGAAATATATATTTTTGGCAATCCATATTTTGATAAAAAATTTACAATTTACATATTTATAGATAATAGTTCTACTTCAAGATATTTATACCCAGTCCCTTATATTATAGTCTTTAATACTGATATGCTCTATATTAAGTATAAACAGAGTTTTTACAAGATATTGCAGATTATTCTCCAAATATTATCAATTATTCACAAATAAGTGTATATAAAATACATTAAACTTGATCTTTATTGTGGTTTTGCAAGAATAAATCATTCAAGTCGAATTGAAATTTATATATATAAAAAAAAACCTTTTGGGTTGAAGAGAAAAGTAATTTGCAATAAAATAAAAATAAAATACTTTGTAATGGTAACACAATATGTTTGTAAACCCGGATAATAAAATAAAAGAGTAGTAAATAATTAAATGTAACTTATATTTATAGCCATTGATATATATATTTGTTCTGCATATTAAATACGCAAACCGGTAACATTTTCTAAGATTTTTGTTCACCACCGCATAGAATTTTTATAATCATATAAAAATATCAATAATGGAATGAGATAAAATCAAAACTTACAGTTTAACACAAAAATCCATAATTATCACATTTATAGTTCAAAACTTGGTTTAAAATAAATATAAATATATTAAATTATTGAAATTTACACATCATAAATTTGATCAAATAAAAATTATTTTGTTAATCATTATTCATTTCTAAAATTATTATGAACATAATAAATTTTGCTCTAAAACCATTTGTTCCATGCAAATTGTACCTGTAATCAACATTTTTCTTTATCAGTGTGGACTCAAATGTAAATATTCAGCTATAAATAAACGTAGTAATTTGTTCAGATTTTCAATAGTATTCATATCTAAAGCAGTCTTATCATCAGCAGGTGTGTGCCACACAGGGGGGAATGGTGTTGGAATTAAATGGAGAATTGGAACATCTAAAAAATAATATACAAAATAATAAAAACTTATAAATTAGATAAGTTGATGAATATTATTTTTTAATAGTCAACATTGAAAATTTTATTTATATCTTTGTTTCTGCATTTTTTGTGTTTGCATGTTTGAAATAAATAAATATAATAAATATTATTTTTTTAAATTTCATGTTTGAAATTTCATTTATGTGTTACACAAATTCTAGCAAATGTAGTATAAATTCATTATTAAAAACAAATAAGTTATTTCTATTTTGTTTGGTTAATAAAATAACTTCTTAAATCCACTGTTTAATAAATTGTTAAATAAAAATTATAGTTAATATGCAAAAAATTTGAAAATTGCATGTTTTAAATAACGACATTCGAATTTGTGGCGCAAATATGCGGATTGTTATGTGGCGCAAATTTAAATAATAAACAAATACTATTAAAAGAATGTATATAATTTCAATAATTTTACATATATATATATATATATATATATATATATATATATGTATATAAAATTCATCTTGGGCGATACATGAAATTAAAAGTTTATATATAAAATATTAAAATTTATAGATCAATTTTCAGATTTTTTCAAATATATCACATATTTAGGTCATCTATAATATACATATATATATATATATATATATATATATATATATATATATATATATATATATATATATATATATATATATATATATATATATTATATATATATATATATATATATACATTTAATTACCTCTTTGCAAGAATGGAATGTGATCATCTTCAATGCCACCATTCCTGGACCTCGGTTGGAAATATGGTGTTGGTTTTCGACAATGCGCACAAGAATGTAACAAGCCTAAGTTACCTAATCTTTCTTCAAGTCTCATAAATCTTAAGTACCATCTTTCTGTTTCTTTAAAATAGCTGTAGAATTTTGGATTTGCTGATCCAAGTAAATCCAGTAAGATCAAAACATCCTGAAAAAAATATAATGTTAAATCAATGAGTAAAATAATTATTATTTATAAAAAATATTAATTGAAAGTACTACAACAGCTATAATGTCTTTTATCATTGTCAGCATATTCTTGCTGATTTTAAGACATGTTTAGACTTTAGTACAATAATAATAATGTATCTCTTACTATTCTATCAAGCTCGCTGTTGTTTTCTCTATTATTTTTTGGATATGGAGTTGAATGCCATTTTGCAGCTAAATGTTTTGCACCATATATAGAATCTCTTGGACCCCATTCTTGAAAAGCTTCTTCGCCATCAAAGAAAATCAACTAAAAAAATGTATTATAACATAATAAGCTCTAAAATTGAGGTAATTTTAGAATTATTAGTTTAAACAAATATTTTACCTTTAAGCTAACATTATTATCTTCTTTAAAATATGGTTTCAAAATTTCCACCAAATTTAACATCATAGCACATGGTACTGCAGAGTCTGTAGCTCCTATAAAAAATAATTCAGTGTGATAAAACCAAATTTTACATTTAATATATTATGTGGAAATTATTATATTCTGTTCTTTTACCAAAGAATTCATCATCAGGAAAATATTTGCTATCATAATGGCAAGCCAGCACCACATAACGCGTAGCATTAGGATTAACTCTTCCAATTATATTCTCAAATACTAATTTTCCAAACCCAGGTGCTTCTTGTTGAAATTTATCGGTTTCCACACTAACCCCTAGTCTTTTGAGTTCACTAATTATATAACGTTTAACTTTGGTATGATTAGGAGTACCAACAACTCGAGGTATTAAAATTTGATCAAGAGTATTTTCAAATTTTGGCATATCACTTAAGTTTGAAATTTGTTCGATTTCTGAGTCAGATAAATCATAAGCATTGTGTAGCCTCTGAAAGGAAAAGAAATCTTAATTTAGTTTACATATGAACTATAATGTACATTTAAATTTGGGTTTGATAAAAAGAATTGGTATATTGATTTAAAAGTATTTAAAAAATTTCATTATGTAATTTACACTAATAATATGATTCGCAAAACATAGTTCTAAATTAAGCAATGCAGCTTAATTCAAAATAAAATTGAATAATCGTAGTAATACTAATTATTGTTAATTATACATTATTATACATTATTATACAGAATGATTGAATTTATATAAGCATTATAAAAACTTGATGCAAATGATAGATAGGGCACATTCAAATAATTAAACGTCCACATATTTTTTTTAAATTGGTTCATTAAATGTAATTAATGATATTACTTTATTAAATTATTTTGCTGTATTATATTCTTACAGGAGATAACATCAAGTAAAAAACATAAGATATCGATTTTGGCATGTTTATTATTTTAAACGTTTTGACATCAAATCGTAGATCAGCTGTAAAATAGAAAAAAAGAAAAAAAAACGCAAACTAAACATCAGGATGGAAATAGAATATAAATAAATTATGTAAATATTGTAAAAAAAAAACTTATGCTTTAAAATCTTCAAATTCTTATGTCTTCTACTTGGTGTTGTGTGTTCCAAAAAATTTATTCTATATAAAATTTTAATTAAATTAACGAATAACAATATCGTTCTGAGCAATTTTTGAAAGGTCAATCAGCACATGTCTTTATTAACTTAATAAAACATAATAAATAAAATAAACTTACTCGTTCTTCATATAACCTAGCACAGCTGTAAGTCTTCGACAACAAGATTGTGCAACAAACATTAAACAATAACGAATTAAACATTTTTCCGTTCAACAATTTGGTTAAAATCATTTTTGTCTTGTTCAGGTTAGAAAAATCTTCGCACGTCAATAATTATATACTATC